CTGAGATACTCAACATCTTCGCTTGACTTGATAAGATTGTCAAGAAATGCAAAATAACCTGTGATCTTAGCTCTAAGACTCTTGTCACATTGCTCATATACAACAAGGTTGCGAATTAAAGATTCTGCAGATTCTGCATTTCTAGAACTTAGTAATGGTTGGAAACAGTTTCAATAATCCATTCTTGAATTTTGATCTTCACTAGTTGCCTCCGTCTCCTTGACGGCGAAGTCAATTACCAGCTTTCAAAAAAGGTCAGTCACACAAGGATTTGCCAAGAAACCTCCCATTAAGCATCTTCACTTCTAGAAAGAATCAGATGTCGCTGGAGATCACAGATTTCGCTGGAGATCAAGTAAATGCTTATATTCCATTGTTGCGTTTACTTCAATACCTGTCGTTCTCAAAGCATTTTAAAGGGTCGAGAAACTTTCGGGGTCATTTTAGTTTTAATAATGATTGAACAAACCAAATGTTGACCCTTGCTCACAATTCTTTTTCAGCAACATAATCATGCTGTCCTTTCAAAAGAAAAATAACATAATCATTGAAGCTTTAATAATAGTGCGTTGTGATAATCACAGCGCTGAGATTTCGAATCCGTGAAATACATAATTTAATACCTTTATATTAACTTTAAATAATCTATGTAATCCATTAAAATTAATTAATTCATATTAATTATTTTTAAAATTAATCTATCTTTTTTATGTAAGGATCAAAGAGCAAAATTTTGAATTGGCTATCATATGGTTGATATAGGTGGCGACAATAATGATTTATTTTATATGATTACTGGTAATATTAATATATTTGTTGAAACAATAATATATAATAGCTTTCTGCCAACAAGATGTCAGACAGTTCAATAATTTTCTGATATGCACAAGCTTTAATTTAATGGTAAATTCTGGCTAAAAATCATGGATTACTTTAATTAATTCTTCGATTTATTATTTTTATTATTTCGATTTATTATTTTTATTATTATTATTTAATGGTAAATTGTGTAATCATGAATCAATTTTTATCTTATATTTTATTAAGTTGATTTTCTTTTTCTAGTTCCATCAAAGACAGATAAACATGTAATTACGGGTTAAAAAGTAATTGTTATAATTTAATTTTTTTTATTAACCTAATTCGTAAAGATTAAAATATTACTACTAAAATTAATATTAAGGTCATGCATGCATATGTAATTACTCTTTAACCATTAAATAAAAAAATAAAAGAAAGAAAGAAATATGAAATTTGCTTATTACTTCTAACACCAAGACTTAATCCCAAGACTTAATCACATCGTTTATTCTAAAACATGGAATTGTAATATCAAAAACAAACCAATCAAACCTTTAATTCTAAAACATAGAACAATAATTTTGAATACTACTAAATAACCTATAAAATAAGACCACTAAATTTCTCTTTAGTTATTTGGTCAAGTCGCTTTGCCATATCAGTGTTAAATAATTTTTCCAATCATCAATCTTACACTTTCTAAAGAATTTCATCCATTACAATTATATTATATTTTAATTATATAAATAAGTATATTTGTGAAGTTACTCAATAAGTAAGTATTATTCTTCTCCAACATATACAGAAGGGAAACATGAAAATTCACATCAGATCCTAAAACACCAAAAACTAAAAACGAGAAGAGCCATTGCAGGCTTTCACATCAGATCTTAAAAAACCACCCATTTATTATTTGACGATAAAAACTAAACTCAGAAGAAACACAAAGAAGAGCCATCGAGTGAATTAACATACAAAGAGCGAGCTAGAGGCTTAGTTGTGATAACGTATGGCATAAACTGTCTGTAAGAAAGTGAGAATTAAAATTGCAGTGGCAGCGAAAAAAGCAATAGTTGAGCAAGAAGTATTGAAAATATCTCTTAATAACATTGCTCGCCATTGAGGCCACCGAGATTTATAATATGCATTGACTTCGTCAGAAATTTTTCTGTAAGGATAATTTTCAATATGAGCATAATCGTATAGTCTGTTGAAGAAACTAGATACCTCCTCTGCACTCAAGTAGAAATTTACTATTCATTTTTCTCTGAGATACTCAACATCTTCGCTTGACTTGATAAGATTGTCAAGAAATGCAAAATAACCTGTGATCTTAGCTCTTAGACTCTTGTCACATTGCTCATATACAACAAGGTTGCGAATTAAAGATTCTGCATTTTCTAGAACTAGTAATGGTGGAACAGTCAATATCCCATTTCTGAATGTGATCTTCACTAGTGCCTCCGTTTCTCCGACGGCGAAGTCAATACCAGCTTTCAAAAGGTCAGTCACACAAGGGATTGCCAAGAAACCTCGATTAGCATCTTCACTTCTAGAAAGAATCAGATGTGATCTTCACTAGTGCCTCCGTTTCTCCGACGGCGAAGTCAATACCAGCTTTCAAAAGGTCAGTCACACAAGGGATTGCCAAGAAACCTCCATTAGCATCTTCACCTCTAGAAAGAATCAGATTTCGCTGGAGATCAAGTAAATGCTTGTATTCCATTGTTGCGTTTACTTCAATACCGGTCATTCTCAAAGCATTCCAGTAGAAGTAATCCTGAACAAGATTAGCAAGGGTGCGATTTTGCGGGTCACGGATATCTGCCCTTGTGAGATTGAATAATCTATGCAAGATAAACCAAGGAAGTTGATTCTCAAGGAAGAGTAACTCTGTCACCAGAACTTTTCGCAACCAGGGCATTTTGAACAAGGGATCACCTTCACTTGTTTGTACTATTTTCGAAAACCTACGGAATAACTCAAGAATAAAACAACCATCAATGATCATCATTTCAATGAACTCGTCATCAGTCTGTTCTGGAAATTCTTCACTATAGTATTTGCGACATCTTTGCACATCAGGTCTTATAGCTTGCACAAAAGATTGAAATCTTGTTATACTAGAAGTATCACTTGGTACTCTAGCAAGAACACGATTTAAGTACCAAAGTTTAATTCTTTCTGAAAATTGAAACTTTTGTACATCTCGATGATATGGACCAATTGAAATAAAATTGGGCTCGAAAAGATGCTCCTTGTCTTTTCGAAGTGTGCTAGGAACTCTATATATGCAGCTTTCAGGTGACATTGGAGGTGACATTGGACGCAATTGGTTTTCAATATCAAAAATATTGGTCTGCAGCTCCATTCTTCTTGGAAAGCTATGTCAAAATAATTTACATGACAAGATTAATCCAATTAAGCAATGGAGAGAGAGAGAGAGAGAGAGAGAGAGAGAAGAAGAAAATATTACTAATAATTTTATATAGAGGAAACATAAGGACAACAAGAGAGAAGAGAGTACCTCTGTTCTGAGACAAATAGTCTTTGCCTGTACTAGTATAAGAGAAATAGATGGAGCAAATTCCTTAAGGCCATGTTCACAGCTTTCTCTTCAGAAGGTCAATGACTATCAAAATGATCAATAATAATAATCATAATATCAATAAATAGAAAGTCTATGACTGTATTCATGTCATTATCAACTAAATAGATCATCTAAACATATTATATTCATAAATAAATTGACTAATTATAGAAGGAGGACTAATTGATTATATGTTAATTAATTATAATAAAGCAGGATAGGATACATCTATTATTATCTTTAATTTATTGCCCAGATGTGATAAAATTCCAGCAAGGAGCAAGATGTCAACCCTCTAATTTTTTTTTAAAGTATCTGGGAGAGAATTCGACTCTGGATTTACTTATTAAGTCGTATATTCACTTCCCATTAAATTATATCTTGACATGCAGTCAACCCTTTATTTAATAAATATATAGCAAAACTCAAAAAAGATTCTAATGATATGTTGCCAGATTTTTAAATTTTTTAAAAATTGATGTTAAATCACTTTCATATCGTAACGGTCAAATTAATATATAATGCTTCAATTAATTAATTTAATAAATTATATTTAATTTATCTGCTCATATGTCTATAATAAATACATACATTGTTTATAAGCCTATAATTTTTACATTATTTAATTTTTATATCATTTCCTCATTATGTTTACATTATATTTCTTTATTATTATAATCTTATACAGTAATTTCTATAGTTTTCTAAACACAAATTTTTTTAATCTAACTTTAAAAATTGCAGTGAAGGTAGTTGCACCTAACCAATAATAATAATAATAATAATATCCGGGGCGAGATGGGATGACAAGAATTAATCGTTTCTCCTTTATAGGTTTGAGTTCGAGCCCTAGGTATAGAGTTCCTTTAAATACTTGAAAGGAAGTGCTTCTCCCCGCTCTTTTCAGGCCTATCTGGTGTGAATCTAGATTTGTCAAGCCAGCGAACTTCAGACACCGAATGGTTAAAAAAACCAAAAAAAAAATTATAAATAAATAAATAAATAGGTTTTCTGACATGTATTGGATCCTTGGAAGCAACTTCACCAATTCCCTATTAATGATCTCTAGAACTGCTTATTCTATCCATGTCATCAGCCATTAAGTTGATCCTTTCACCAACTAACTGTAAAAGGAGAATTAGTTACATGTTAATTATATTTTTCATGATCAGGGTTCAACTTTAGTTGGTTAGTTCTGTACAAATTGGTTTTCGGTTCAATCTATATGCCAACCAACTTCAATTGATTCAGTTCCATTTAGTTCACCTCATAAATTGATTTGATTCGGTTTTGAATATTTGATGTTCGGTTTAATGGGTTCGGTTTAAAATCCGCGACCAGTTGCTCAGGTCAGGCCTAGAAAATACTGATACTTTTATTTTGTAGAAGAAATATTACAGCAAGAGATCAAAGAGTTGTGTTAAAAATCAAGGAAGCAGCAAGCTGCAAACCCAATTTTTCAATCATAATTTTCACTCTGATAATGTTAATCCGATTTGAAAAGTGAATTTTAAACAGAATTTGGAATGAACATCCCCTGCAAGAAATATAGAATCTTGTGTTAAATTTCCTTATCAGAAAATTTCAAATGATTAACTGTTTCAATATATCCGCCATTAGAACACAATCTGATTTCTCATATTTGAAAAACACTACAATTTACAAATCCATCATCATGGTATGCACACAATTAAGCCAAACTATAAAATATATGCTCTGCCTAAAAGAGAAGATTGACGTGAAACTTCATGTCAGATCTCAAAAAACCACCCATTATTTGAAGATAAAAACTAAAAATACAGAAAAACATAGAGAAGAGCGACTGCAGGCCAGAGAAAGCAGGCAATGGGCAAACTAAGTGAATGAACATAAAAAGAGCTAGATGCTTAGTGATAAAGGATGGCATAAAGTGTTTGTAAGAAGGTGAGAACTAAAATTACAGTGGCAGCAATAAAAGCCATAGTTGACCAAGGATTGTTTAAGTAATCTCTTAATAGCATTGCTCGCCATCGAGGCCAAAGAGATTCACAGTATGCATTGACGTCTTCTGAAAGCTTTCTGTAAGTGTAATTTACAAGATCAGCATCTTTGTAGAGTCTGTTGAAGAAATTAGATATATCCTCTGCACTCAAATAAAAATATACGATTCCTTTTTTCTTGAGATACTCAAGATCTTCACTTGACTTGATAAGATTGTCTAAAAATGCAGCATAACCTGTAATTCTATCTCTTAGACTTCTGTCACATTGCTCATATGCAATAAGGTTGCGAAATAAAGATTCTGCATTCTCTAAAATTACTAATGGTGGAATTGTCAAGATTCCATTTTCGAATATGATCTTCACTAGTTTCGTCTTTTCTCCAACGGTGAAGTCAATACCAGCTTTCAGAAGGTCAGTCACACAAGGAATTCGCAAAAAATATCCCCCAGCATCATCGCTTCCAGAAAGAATTATATTTCCCTGGACATCAAGTAAATGCTTATATTCCATACTTGAGTTTACTCCAATACTTTGTGCTCTCAAAGCATTCCAAAAGAAAAAATGCTGAACAAGCTCAACAAGGGAGCGAGTTTCTGCGCCGTGATCCACCTTTGTGAGATCAAATAACCTGTGCAAGACAAACCATGGAAGTTGATTCTCAAGTAACAGTAACTCTGTCATTAGAATTTTTGGCAACCAAGGCAGTTTAAACAAAGGGTCATCTTCACTTGGTTGTACTATTTTTGCAAACCTGCGGAATAACTCAATAAGAAAACAACCATCAATTATCATCATTTCAATGAATTCATCATCATCAGTCTGTATTTGCACTTCTTCGCTATAGCATTCGCGACATCTCTTTACATGGGGTCTAATTGATTCCACAAAAGATTGCAATCTTGTTTTACCAGAAGTATCAATCGGTGCTCTAGCAATAATACAATTCAAGTACCAAAGTTTAATTCTCTCTGTAAATTGGAATTTCTCTACATTAATTCGATGATATGGACCAATTGAAATAAAATTTGGCTCGAAAAGATGCTCGTTGTGTTTTCGAAGTGTACTAGGAACTCTATATATGCAGCTGCCAAGTGACATTGGAGATTTATTGACCAATTTGCTTTCAAGACGGCGACATAATGACAGAAGCTCAATATCAAAAATATTGTTCTGCTGCTCCATTGTTCTTGGAAAGGTAAGTCAAAATAATTCACATGACAAGATTGTTTCAACTGAGCAATGGAAAGAGAGAGAAAGGCAAGAGAAAAGAAAAAAAGTCCAATTAATTTTACTTTTAGAGGAAGTATAAGTACTGCAAGAGAAAAGAGAGTACCTGTATCTGATCTGATACAAATAGTCTTTGCCTGCAGTAGTATGAAAGAAATGGATAGAGCAATTCTCGATGCCTAATCTGGATGGAGTCAGGAGTTGAGGTATGTGTAGCTATCTTTCTCAATAGCTTTCTCTTCAGAAAGTCAATAACCAGTGCTTCATAGGTAACTGATCTGACCACAATTAAAATAAATTTTCAAATTTAGAAACCAACCCTGCTATTTGACCTTCAACAAACCAAGGTCTCCAACCATCACTCATGGTTAAGTTGAGGGAGTTAATCCATGTGCAGTGCTTCATAGGTAACTGATCTGACCACAATTAAAATAAATTTTCAAATTTAGAAACCAACCCTGCTATTTGACCTTCAACAAACCAAGGTCTCCAACCATCACTCATGGTTAAGTTGAGGGAGTTAATCCATGTGACTGTACCAGTGTAAGGAATTAGCATGTCATGGTCACCGCTGCAAGAAAACAAATAGCATAAGGAATAAGACCACATAAAAGAAAAGAAGAAAACACTTCAAGTGATACTTAACGACAAGCTATTTGAAGAAATATCTATTTTCCTCAAGTTTCAGAATTAATATTTGTGTTCTGAAATTCCAAGATCTCCGGGTGACATACAGGAAGCATACACCTCTTGTATAATATATATATATATATAAGGTAAGGTAAGGTTAAATGTAAACTGATCCTTTGACAAATGATGACAATTATTGTTATATTTCAAAATCTACTCAGTGATGGAAACAGGTCAGTAAATTCACTAGTAGATAACCTGAAGATCAAAGAAAGAACAAAATACCTATATACCAGAGCTCGGTAGCCAGCTGTAAGTAGTTCTTTATGATAAAAGACAGTACTCAATAAGTCATACTCATAAGCCAAGGTTTTGTTGCACCTCTTCCAATCTGTTATTGTACCCTGATTGCCAATGAAAGAAAAAATGCCTTGAGTTTATCTCAGTGAAATTAGTTTAAATTTAAGCACCAACTTGAAATCAGCATACTGATACAGACAGCCTAATTTTACTTTTTAAAGTGACTTACATTTCGGATATGAAGTGCCTCTTGTACGCCTTCATCATTTGCCCAGATGTAAGAGAGTACATAATTTGAATTCTGAAACAAAGTTTGTAACATAATTTACTGAATATATAGTTTCGAATTGAGATCTAATAGAGTTGCATAAGTATCCAGTAGATTGAAGGACTACATATCCTTGGTAGGGATTGGAGCGGGAGAAAGAGGTATTACCCGGCACCAATTATCAGGGACTTCTTCTGATGATAAAGCAATGTCGATGGGAGTGTCATCAAAAAATTTGCGTCCCCATTTCAAGCCCTTTGGTTTTGGTGATGCAAGAGTGCACTTAGGTTCCAGTATTTGTGCGTCACATATCTTTAAAGTGCACTGCAAATGTCAAATGGTTATTTGGTCTCATTAGTAAAAAATGTAGGGAATAGCATGGAAAATTAGAACCTTTTGTTAGGGTCCGGCAATGAAATTACGAGAATAATAACATAGCCGAAAAATAGAAATATGACACACAGATATTTACGTGGTTCACCCTTTAACTGTTTAGGGCTATGTCCACAGGACAAAAACCGAATATTTCTTCCACTATTAAAAATAGTAGGCTTACAAAGAGAGTAATACAAAAATAGTGGCACTCAAAAGTGTTTCCCAAAAACAGAGTAATACAAAAAAATTAGTGGCACTCGGACAAAAACCGAATATTTCTTCCACTATTAAAAATAGTAGGCTTACAAAGAGAGTAATACAAAAATAGTGGCACTCAAAAGTGTTTCCCAAAAACACACCAAATTATCCTTACTATTTTCTATACCCGAGTTTAGAACACAGTTCTAAAACTGAAACAACTCTCTCAAAATCCCTCTTCTTTTTGCTTTCACTCTTATTGTGTAGTGAAGCTCTAGCACCATCTCCTATTTATAGGAGAGGTGGAAGCCTGATTAGGAGAGGTGGACGCGTGATTAACGCGTCCGCCGAAAAACGGATCACCTGCCAAAGAACTTTCTCCAATTTTCTTCTTGCCTTTTTCAACTATGGGACCTACCACGTTTTCTTTCATTCTCTTTTTCTTTTTTATTTTATTTTATTTCAAATGTGGGTCCCACTGAGTGGGCACCGCACAACACCTTTTTTCCCCTTCCATTCAAGAAATGAAAGCAGTACTTCTTCTAACCTCTGCAATATGCTGAATGGTATCCATACAATCAGCATTGCTTATATTTGGTGATATATATTCGCCGACACAGTACGTTGTAGCAGCCTGGAAAAGCATAAAACAACTTCAATTATATTTTTTGACAAAAATATGATTTAACAAAATGAATGCTCAATGAAAGCCACACTGACTATCTTTAACTCTATGAATGTCGAGATTTATTCAATGTATCATGCGCATTGCATAATTCACAAATCATGTTATGCAAGCATTAAAAATATGGAGAAATAAGTGAATGTGAATTAGTTAGCAAAACCAAATTGTTCTAATGCATATCTAACTACAAAACATTATTAACCCTCTATGCACATAACTTATCAATCACAGTCAGGGGCGGAGGAAGGGGGGACTTGGAGGAGCCCCGGCCACCCCAAGCTAAAAATAAAAAAAATTAAAACTTTTATCTATAAATAGTGCAAAAAAAAAAATTTTTTCCTTGATTTGCCCCCTTAATTTTGAAAATTTTTTTTGGCCCCCTTTAGTTTTGGAGTCTGCCTCTGCCCTGATCACAGTGAGCTTATGAAATAATCAGTGTGTATTAGTTTTAATCTACAGCAGTCAATTACCGTATATAGCTCATTAGATATGAGTCCCACTCGGTAGAAATATTCAACTCTTGAATTCTCATCATTATGTAAATCTGTTACTGGATTACCAAGCATGTATCCCTGATTCACATTTAAGCAATATCAGTCTTAGATACACTAAAAAGACAATGATGAATTGAAGCGATAGTATATAATTTAAATTTCTGAGAAGTACAAATGTGTACCTGGAGATTCAAGTAAGGCTTGTGTTTGGCTCTGTTTCCTGCAAGACAACCGTCAACAAAAATCAATGTGATGATAAAAACAGAACTCCAAGATTATTTGTGTTACATCCAAGGAAGAAAGCTACCTTCTACTACTTGGATGGTAACTGTTGGAACAATCATGCCAGATGTTGGAACAATCATGCCAGGAATTAAGAAATCACCACAAATGTAAAGTGGATTGTACAAGAATTTGGGATGAATCAAATTATCACTGCAGCATAACTTTACAAAGTAAACAAAAAAAAAAAAAAAAAAAAAAAAAAAAAAAAAAAAAAAAAAAAAAAAAAAAAAAAAAAAAAAAAAAAAAAAAATATTTGGAAATAGTATTGCCTTTCTTTCAACACATTGTTTCTTTTAAAAGTAATAATCTTCCCCCTTTTTTACCATTCTATGATGTTTCGCTCAAGATAGATATTACGCTTACAAGATATATATGAGGGGCTTGACCTTTCCTTAGGAAACTGAATTAAAATGCCTTCGGACGATAAACGTGTCTGAAGTGTAGTAACCCTTCCTGGGTGTGTTGAGTAGGAAAAATCCAGTTCCAACTGTGCATTCAAGAATAAATATTTCGCAAAATCTAGAAAAATGAATGGTGAAAATATTGATGAAAAAGAAAAATCCCAGTTATATTTAACGCTTCAAAGTAAAAATGAAAATAAGATAGTAAAGATTTTAATTAGCACCTTTGTCCATGAAGATTTTGATTCTCTATAAGTGATGGGCAAAACTCCCATTGAAGGCTCATAATCAAAGTTTAAGGACCTGGCACAAAAAGTTTAGAAGTCCATAGAAATTAATAAAAAATGATGCTAAAACAATGAAATTGCTGTTTGATCTTTCTCTTTGTAGGTCTGAACTTTATGAATTACACATGAAAGCATACAAAATTAAAACAATAGATCCCACATTGGAGAAACAATACTGGATACTCATAAAATATCCTCAGAATCAGAAACCGATATGAAAACACCAGACCCATTTTTACCAATTATGTCATTCAGACAAATCGTCGAGAAACTTATTCGTCATCAAAAAAAAAAAAAAAAAAAAGAAAAGGATTTGATATCAAAAAAAAAAAAAAAAAAAAAAAAGGATTGATATCATAGCTTTACTATTAGGAGCAGGCTTATTCATTCAATAAAGGCGTATAAAATTACAGGCCAACTCAAAATTTGAGAGCTTCGAAGCTAGTGAAATTTGAGCCTTAAATATATAAATGATTTGTTAAAAGTTTTCAGTTTTAGCCTACAACATTGTATTATTAATCCGAGCAAACGAAACTATCTGAGAGCTACTTCAACTTTGAATCGGAAATTTTGAACTTAACTTTGAATTGGAATTGATAAACCATATTTTGTAATTAGTATTTAAACATGGCCAAATGTAGAAATTGAGATTTGCAAAATTTAATAACATCCTTAATTTTTATTTTAATTCACCCTTTAACCTGTAAAATTATATTCGGTTGGACACTCTAACTTGTAAATTACATCAATTAAATATTTTAATTTATAAAATTAATTGAAATTATTATTATTGAAAACTAATAAGATAGTTAAACAAAGCCAATATTACTATTTAATATTTTGTGCTAAAAAAAGTATAAAGTATCTGTACTCATAAATATATTATTTAGTAATTAAAAAATATGTAAATTTATATTTTATAAATGCGAATTTACAAATTAAAATATTTAATAAGTATAAATTTATAAATTAAAAAGTCTAAAATCCCAAAACAAAAGCTAGGGATGTCATTAGACTTTTCTTATAAAGTTCAATACTTACAATTTAAACTTTTTAAAAAAGTTTAATACATAAATTTAAATTAATATCTGAATTTTACAAGAAAAACAAAATTGCAATTTAATTTTTAAGTCGAGCTACTAGAACTTGATATTTATAAAATTATATTAATTGGATACAAATTTTCATATTTTTCAATTATCAGATATTGTATATTCAATAAGTGTAATACTTTATACATATTTCCCCACAAATTACAAAATAAAGATCTTCATATTTTTTAAATATATTGTTAATGTTTTACAAGTATAATCTTATGACTAAAAGTATTCAAGAAAAATAATTATAAAAAGTCTATATTTATTTTTTTAGTTTAAGCACTACTATTTCCACGTCTGTTTTGGGTATTAAGACTACGTTCAGTTTGGGATTCATAATTTTTTTCTGTAGATTGAACCTTTAATCTTGTAGAAATCATCTACTAGATTCAAACATGTTTTATTACTAGAATCACTCTTTAAAAATTAAAAAAAAAAAAAAAACTTTCTTCGATTTACAACATTTTCAAAGTTCTAGTTTAGAATTGGAGTGAATAAATAAACAAGATTAAAAAAAAAAAAAACTTTCTTCGATTTACAACATTTTCAAAGTTCTAGTTTAGAATTGGAGTGAATAAATAAACAAGATTTAATTTTAATTGAAAATTTTTACAAAAATGTAATCAAAATTAAGTATAATGAATAAGGAGCTAGCATACCAATTTCATAAATTAGGCCAGAGAAAGCAGAGCAACCAGGACCTCCTGTAAGCCAAAGCACAAGTGGGTCTCTTACAGGATTCCTCTCTGACTCTACAAAGTAGTAGAAAAGCTGCAGTTGACAGGATCAAAGATTAAGAATGAGATGGAAGAACTAACAACAGATCAAGGAGATCAAAGAAAACAGCAATCGATTGAAAAGAAAGAAAGGAAAAAAAAAAAACTCCAAATCAATCAGTAATAAGTTGCAAGAAGAAAAAGCATCAAATCAAAGAAGAAACTGAATAAACCTGCGCAGCACTGCTCTGATACCATGAAAAAATTAACTAAATTCATCTTATTGAATAAGAAGATGGAGAGAGCGACAGATACAAGAGAGACCTAAAAACAGAGGAAGATTACAATATTGAAAAGGAGAAGAAGAATACTCTAGAAAACTTCACCACACAAGATCTTTATACAGTTCTTTATACATTTTTTACGGACGCCAATGACATATCAAATTTAGCTCTTAAAATCTATGACAACTCATCTTTCTCTCTTCATTCTCTGTAACTGATTTGCAACTCCTTAACTGTTTTCGTTATCAGCAAGAAGAAGGTATACTGCATATGTTTTGTCACTTGCATTCGTTAGCTGTGCGACGCCGTTTTTCTGCTTTTAATTTCTTTCTTTCTTTTATAAAACGGTGTCGTTGGCTACTAGCCGTTATTAGTAATAACGTTATTAGTAATAACTGCTTTCTTCTTTCAAAACATCAGCATTCTTCAACCTCTGTTACCCCCCCGCAAGCTGGCGCATGGATGTACAGGACAATGCCCAGTTTGGGACATGAGAAACTTAAAGCGAGAAGGGAATAGTGGATTTTGTGTATACATAGTCTAGTCTAAGCTGCACTCTGTAGGAAATAGGCATAGATGACAATGGCCTAGAATTTAACTTTTTTCTCGAATAAATGGTGATGGCAGATCTGATTTCTCATTATGTCTGGTCGAGTTGCGTCGTCTCTGGTCTATAGAATGGTGTCAGTGGTTTAGCGTTAGATATAATTTGTGGCTGATTGGATTGTATTTGATTGCACAAAAATTGAGTATGAAGTCTGGGTGATTGTGCTGGGGCGCTCATGATATAGATTCATGGGATCTGCTGATATATTCTGATCAAATATATAGCTGTCTTAACCTATTGAATAGCTCATACTAACAAGGCCAGAATTAACTTTTTCTCGAATAAAATGGCAATCTATCTCTATATGCTTCGATCGCTCATGAAAGGCAGGGTTAGCTGTGAGATAAATTGCTGATTGATTATCACAAAAGAGACTGATGGGTGCAGATAAATTATGACCAAGATCTGACAATATATAGCTCAACCATTGAAGCTCACAAGTTGTAACAGCAAGAGCTCGATACTCTACTTCTGAAGAGGATCTGGACACAGTCACCTGCTTCTTCGATCTCCAGTTGATCAAGGAATCTCCTAGGTAAATTGCATAACTTGTTATAGATCGCCTTGTATCAGGACAACCAGCCTAATCAGAGTCGCTAAAGGCAGTGAGTTTTGGTGTTGAACTAGCTTTATAGAATAAACCATTACCAGGACTAGATTTAACATATCTGAGAACCTTGAGCAAGGCCTGATAATGAGATGTTCTTGGTGCAGATAGAAATTGGCTCAAGGTATTGACAGCATAAGTGATGTCTGGCCTTGTGGTAGTGAGATATAAGAGTTGCCCCACTAGTTTTCTGTAACCAGTTACATCACTCAACAAGTCACCATCATCTTTGGACAGTTTGACATTATAATCCATAGAAGAGGAGGAAGGCTTAACACCTAAAACTCCATACTCAGTCAGGAGCTCTAGTGCATACTTTCTCTGACATATATGCAATCCTGCTTTGACCTAGCAATTTCCAATCCAAGAAAGTACTGTAGCTTACCAAGATCTTTACCTAGCAATTTCCAATCCAAGAAAGTACCTTAGCTTACCAAGATCCAGAGAAGCTTTGACTGAGGTAATTTCTGAAGAATCATTTCCTGCTAGAACAATATCATCTACATAAATCAATAAGGCAGTAAATTTTTCCCCCTTTGATTTAGTGAATAGAGAATGATCTGATTGTGATTGTTGATAGCCAATAGCAACAAGGAAATCTGTTAACTTGTGAAACCATTGTCTACTAGCTTGTTTCAAGCCACATAAACTCTTCTGCAACTTACACACTGAACCAACAGGAACCTGCAACCCCAAAGGAGCCTCCATATAAATTTCTTCATGCAAATCACCGTGAAGAAAAGCATTGTTGACATCAAGCTGCTCCAAAAACCACTCTTTCATTGTAGCTAAAGATAAGAGAAGTCTAATAGTTGTAACTTTAGCTACAGGAGAAAACGTATCAAAGAAGTCCTAGTATCAAAAAATCCCTGGCCCTCAACTTTGTGTGTATACCTTGGCAACAAGTCTTGCCTTGTGCTCGTCTAAAAGAACCATCTGAATTCATTTTTGTTTTATAACCCATTTTAAACCCAATAGGCACCTGTTTGGTGAAGGGGAACCACAATCCTTTAAAGCCAAAGCTTCAAGCTCCTTATCCATAGCTTCCCTCCATACAAGATGTTTAACAGCTTG